GGTTTTATTCAGTTTTAAATTTTGTATTTATGTGTTTTTATCCTGTGGCTGTTCACCGCCCTGAGTCCTTCGGGAGTAGGGCGGTATATGAATCAAATAAACATAAACAAAAACAAAAACGGGCCAGAATGCAAAAAGTCAAACCTGCCTTCAATATAAACCAGGCAGATTCGAAGAAAAAACATACCGTATCTGCATCTGACGCAATTTTACCACATGGTGTAACACTCACTTAATATTTCCCTAGGTGCTCATGAAAATTTTAAATAATTTAGTTCCTCTTTTCAGGCAGCTCTTATAAAATTATTTTATTCTCAATTAAAACAAAAGTCATCATCATGGCTTCCTTGATATACCTGTTTTATATAAGATGGTGGGGGGAAGAGCCACTGAGCAAGTAACAAAGTTTAGGACACCTCTCAGATCAGAAAGAGCTATATACTGGCTAATCAGGATAGAGTTTTATTGCCATGTTTAACACAAAAAGAAATTAGACGTTTTATAATAGTAAAAAGGACTCAAGGTTCAAATCTGTTATATGACATCCAACATAATAAAAATATTGGGATATGATGTTTCAAGAGTCAATCAGTCGGATTGAAATAATTGTTTTATTATTGCAGAGAAGATACCTCTTTCGGAATCTGTAACACTACCTGCTCTTCCTGTTTTTGGTCCCAGAAAAAGAATGCAAGTATTTGAGCTATTCTGACACACCCATTTACATATGCAAACAACAGTGTAATTTTACTCTCCTGTTATAACAAAGTTAAGTTTTATTTGTGCAGGGATTTTTTTTATAGTTCTGGAAAGACAAAGAAGTGAAATGATTTTTTAATCAAACACAACATATATAAGGAAACCATTAAAAGCATTACCTAAGCAGACTTATTAAGCTAAAAACAAAACAAAACAGGTTGCTATTTTTTTAAATTTTTAAATGTGGAGAAACCCCAAATAGTTGAATGGCAGGATGGACCACATAGTTTAAAGCAATAGGCAGTATGAATGTTCCAAGCTGAAATCGGAGTTATAGGTCAAAAACAAAGTTTCCAGACCCCAGCTAAAGAATGCTTCTACCTTCTTTCATTTACTTTTCAACTCACAAAATCAACAAAATTTGAAACGTTAGGAAGTTAAATATTTGGACAAAAGTGCTAACATATAGACTTTTGCAGATAAAACCTTTGGCCTTATAAACTCATATAGGTCAATAACATTGATCAAAATACCAAAAATATTACAATAAGATAAAGCTTATTAACAAGCAGAATGGCTAATATTCTTTTCAAATATGTTTATGAAGCAGGATTTATGAAAGGCAACTTGCACATGCAATATATAAAATTCTCATTGTAATCTGTTTAGCTATAAATCAAGAAAAGCAATGACCATGAATTACAAGCAGTTGCTTACCTACTATTTGAAGTTACAATGGACCTCCCCACTTACATTTATTCCAGCATCCTGCGGTCACATGACCATGTTTTACAATGTTTTTGCCAAAACCAACATTTACTTCTGTTTTTTTGGCAAAACTGCCTGATAGTGAACAATTGGTTCACTTAATGATGCAGCTTCTGCTTAGCAACTGTCACAAAAAAAGTTTGAACATCTGCCATCTGCCTTTTCATGTAGAGTTCTAATTTCTGATGGATGTTCTAAGCATTATTTTGCTAGCATGCAAAATTAAAGATATGGTACAAATAGCTGGCATATTCTGTTGTGTTTCCTTTCTTTGGTATTAGAATATACAGACCTATTTTCAGGGGTGGGATTCAGCCAGTTCGGGTGAATCGGATGTTAATTTTATGTCTGGTCTGCCAAACTGGTAGTTGCAAGGAGTGGCTGCCCCCCCAACTCCGCCCCTCCCAGGAGTCTCCACATTTTGGATGCCAGGTAAGTGCAGAGCCCAGGGGAGGCAGCTTTCACCCTCCTGGAGGCGTGAGGAAAGCCTCTGGAGCTTGGGGAGGTTAAAAATGCCCACCACCCGCCATGGTGCAGGAGGCAGAGTAGGTCACGCCCACCCAGGAATTGGGCAGAGAACTGGTTGCTAAAATTTTTGAATCCCGCCCCTGCCTATTTTAATCTGGTCACTGTGTCATTCTACAAATCTGATTTAAGCAGTTTCAGCTGCTACCCTCAAAACGAGGGCACTGTTATAGAGCACTGCACACCAGAACAACTAGACACAAGAATAATTTTTTCCCGAATGCCATCACTCTGCTAAACAAATAATTCACTCAACACTGTTAGTAACAGTAACAAACTAGTTACTAAGTCTGCATTACAATTAATCTTCTCATCGTTCCTATCACCCATCTCCTCCCACTTATGACTGTATGACTGTAACCTTGTTGCTGGTATCCTTACAATTTATATTGATATTGTTTCCTGATTGCTTATTTGTACCCTATGACTATCATTAAGTGTTGTACCTTATGATTCTTGATTAACATATCTTTTCTTTTATGTACACTAAGAGCGTATGCACCAAGACAAATTCCTTGTGTGTCCAATCACACTTGGCCAATAAAGAATTCTATTCTGTTGTGTTCTGTTGTGTTCTGTTGTGTTCTGTTGTGTTCTGTTCTATTCTATTCTATTCTATTCTATTCTATTATTCTATTCTATTCTATTCTATTCTATTCTATTCTATTCTATTCTATTCTATTCTATTCTATTCTATTCTATTCTTTACTATTCAAAGTGATATACGTAACAATTCCTTTCCCATGTTTTCAAAAATATCACCCTATGAGGCAGAAATAATAAATTATATAGATTTGAACCTAGATCTCCCAAGTCCTAGTTCAGCATTCTAATTCAATGCACATCACTGGCCATCATTTTTCTCCCCAAGGTTTATTGGGTTTTTATTTTTAAACATATAACAACATCAATACATGAACAGTGGGGCCTTGGGGTATGGTTCATATTAATACAAATAACAATAATCAATTATTACATTAATCAAATTTATATAATCCTAATATTAATGTACTTGATTATTTTAAAGTAGTTATTCAATATTTCAGTGTTCCATTCTAATGTCAATAGTCTTGAACATACATAGTAATACTCTTTCAACCTCTCAATTTTCCATCTAATTATTACTTATTTTCAATTTATATAAAAATTATAATTACTAATATTCCCCCTAATTCTTATTTCTATCTTTATTCTGGCTTCTAGTTAGGTCACTCTTACTAATCCTAATGTTAAAAGACATATTTATGACATACCCTGTTTCCCTGAAAATAAGACATCCCCTGATAATAAGCCCAATCGGGCTTTTGAGTGCATGCGCTAAAATAAGCCTTCCCCTGAAAATAAGCTCTCCCTGAAAATATTTAAATGCAGAGCTGGAAATCAGGTAAGACGGCAAGAAGAGCCCCATCTTGCTCTAGGTGCCCCAAAATAATAAGACCTCCCTGAAAATAAGGCCAAGTGCTTATTTTGGGGTTCAAAAAAATATAAGACAGGGTCTTATTTTTGGAGAAACATGGTAGTCCTTCATTCTATTTCTAGTTTTTAATCAGGCCATTATTATATTAGAAAAAAGAAGAAAGAAAACAAGAAAAAAATAGCTCTATTCTATCCATCATTCCTTGCCCATTTTAATACTTCAATTTTTATTTATTTATTTTTTTTGGCTTCCATTCTCCTCTCTTGGATCTTGTCTCTGTCAACATCTGTATCTTCATTATTCCATCTAACTATTTCTCCTCTCTCTATCCTCCTAAACTGCCATATTTCCAGAGTATCCACCCATACTCCTATCTCTTTCAAAAACATCTTCCAGATTATCCAATTCCAATTCCATTTTTATATCTCTCAAAAAGTTTTTCTCATCCTCTTGTTTTATTTGGTGATTTGTCGGTTCCATCTTTTCCTCCATTCTTTCCACCACCTCCTCTCTTTCCTGGACTCTTTGATCTTCATTCATTGTCAATTGTATTATATTTTCTACTTTGTCACTTGTACTTTGGATTAAGTCTTTTATCTCTCTTTGGTTCTTTGTCATGGTATCCCTGATGCTTTGAAACATCCACGCCATTTCTCTTGAAATCTCACTCATTCCCCCCTGAAAAGGCACCTTGTTTTAGTTTAATAAAGTATCACTAGCCAGATTCCATGAACCCTGAAATGCAGCTGTACATGGTCGTAACTGCTTGAAAAGAAAGGTGACAAAGACACTTAACCACAGAATGCTTTCTGATGCTCCATTTGCTGTAAATTGAAGGCTATAATAATAATATAATATATTGAGAATCAGACCTCACTATGCCTCTGAACACCAATTGGTATAATGGTGCTACTGGAGCACTGCTTTATAATAATACCGAAAATGTATTGAATGTATATTCTATTCAATTCCCAGCGACTCTGGGAACTTTCCTTTATGGAAAAGTCAGCTACAAAAAGAAAGAAAAAAAAGCTATAAAGTCGGAATGCAGGCATTAGGTCTCATCTAGCATATTCTTTACATTCTTAAGTGGATTCCAATATGCTTATAAGAATGCAAGGAAATGATTAGGAATTTTATTTTTTTTACAAAGCATCTCCAAGGAGGGAAGCCAGAGGATGACGCTGACCTGCTGAGATTTCCGCCTCCCTCAACTAGACACCTTTTACCTACATATCCCAAACACCGCCCTGGTCCAGGGAATTCAGAGAGTTGTAGTCCAACACACACAAAAGAAAGAGAGTACTTAGTTGGAAAAGGTTGTGCTAGCGCAGTGGCTCCGAGCCAGCTATTGGCACTAAGCAGAACAGCGGCTCTCTCCTTATCTCTTCTCTTCTCTTCTCTTCCCTTGCCCGAAGGAGGAAAAAAAAAGAACGTGCAAAGAAGGCAGCCGCTTTGCTTCGCTCGCTCGCCTGACAGAAATGGGAGCTCAAATCACGGTCCAGAGAGAACGGACTGCCAAGGGGAAGGCTCGTTCTTTAGCAGAGCTTGCAGGAGAATAGCCAGTGATGAATAGCCTCCATTTGCTCACCCGCTGTCTCCGGGGCACTGCGGAGGATGAACCGCACGGCTTTGTGCTGCGCTTTGGGGCAGTAAAAGTACTCTCTCTCTCTCTCTCTCCCTTTACCTCCATTTTCTTTGTGGGTCCAACCTTCGCTGCCCGGAAAGGAAGAGCGCGAGAGAGCGGGCGAACACGTGGTGGCAACCACAAGGGACGACCTGCGGCCCGCTCTCTTGCTCTCCGGGCGAAGGGGATTAAGTTTACGGCGTGCGGAAAGAGGCGGCCAGTGCGGCGTCAAGGGCATAAAGAGGGCCCTCTCATCGGCAGGCTGCATGTTGAATAGAACTGTGTTGGGTGGAGTTCTAACTCGCATTTAAACTGCGGTTATTTTACTGGTTTGTGCCTCGCTGGCTTAGAAGTTCTACACAAGTCTCCTCGCGTCCCCGTCCCCGTCCTGAAAGTCCGTCCCCCCCCCCGCCCCTTTTCTTTTTTTCTTTTTTTTTTCTGGACGTCACTCCACTTAGCCCCGCCCGTGAACTGTCGGGCGGGGCTTAGCACAACGCCAGGGGAAAAAAAAGAGGTGTTGCCAAACGAAGGCAAGGGGGCGTGTCCTTATCGCCGCGTTGAGGGCGCCAGTTGGGAGGCAGTCGCGACCGGTGGTGGTAGAAGAAGGTGGGAGGGTGCGCGCGCGGACGTCTGGTTGGCCGCTCGGCCAACCGTCCGTAAGGCGAGCTCGGCGGCGGCGGCGGCGGCACAGGGCGGCGCGCGCACGGAGGGGCGCCCATGGTGTGGCCTCATGTCTAAGACGCTGCGGAGGAAGCGCCACTGGCTCAGCAAGGTGCAGGAGTGCTCCGTGTCTTGGGGGAGCGGCTCCGGCCCAGACCCCGACCTCCTGCGGGGCGGCGCCGAACGGGGAGAATTCCCTTACCTCGGGGGCCGCCTGCTGACAGTGGCCGACTCCGGCGGCGGAGCTGGTTCCGTTTTGCTTTCAGGGAAGCCCCCTGCCCCCGGGGATGTACTGCTGGAGGTAAACGGGACCCCGGTGAGCGGCCTCACTCACCGCGACACCCTAGCCGTCATCCGCCACTTCAGGGAGCCGGTGCGCCTCAAGACCGTGCGGCCAGGTCAGTGCGTCCGAGCGAATGGTTGTCGGAGGGGGTGGGGGGTGTCGATTCTTTCTCACCCCTTTTCCTTCTCCGCGAAAGGGGTGGGAGCCAGTCCCGAAGTCACCGCCCTCGACTCCACCCAACGCACCTGCTTCTCTTTTAACCCCCCCCCCCCCCAATTGTGGGTCCTTCCCGGTCTTAATGTTCATGCTTTCCAGTCGTTCTTCCCCCCCCACCCCTTCTTGATCGCGACTACTTCTGTCTTCCCCGCCCAGAGCACTCCTCTTATCCACCCTTAGCACCACCCAGAATCGTCTCCCCCCCCCCATCTGATCCCTGTAACGTTTTCTCTTTATCATTACTTCTCTTTCTCCTGCTTCTCTTACCTCCCTGATGGACGTGGCTTTTGTAAATTCTATATTTCTTTGAAGACTTAAAGCGATCCTATCTTTCTACCGTACCACCTTTTATCCTTTAGGGCATTCATCACTCTACCTGTGCCACCTTCCTTTCTCACTTCCAGCAACACTCCTGTGCCCAATGTTTCTTGGTTGTCTGTCTCATTTGTATTCCGTGTCCTTTTTACAGCTCTCTCCCACCTATTGTTTTCTATTAAGGCAAATCTGACCCAGCCACTGTCACCCCTCCTGGCACATCTGCTAAATCCCTTCCCTGAACAGACCTGGCCCTTCCTGTTTACTCCAGTATCTATCTTCCGCTCCAGTGCTGGTGTCATTATTGAAGTGGTTCCACTTATAAGACCTGCTCTAAACCAAGAGTGGTTGTTAGGCTTTGTGGTAGCAAAGGACTTTAATAGCTTTTTATGTGGTTTGTTACATTAATGTCTGTCTATAGAATGTTAGCTGTGATAATCAACCTAGCCTAGTGGCTTCTTTTACCCCTTTAATGGATTATTTTTTTCTGTGCAGAATATTGGCTTTTGGCAGTATAGTTAATCAGAAATATTTGACCATGAAAGCTTTCTGCTTTAAACAAATAGTTAATATTTGAGATGCTAATGCTGTCTTTTCTGAATAGATGCAGTTAGATTTTTTTTATTCCGCCAGAGTTTATAAGAAAAAAACAATTACTTTCGCATGGTAATGTATCATCTTTTTTTTTAGTTTCTTTTCCGTGTATTCTCAGTTCTAGGGAGAAGGGGGAGGGGAACAGTTGTAACCGTACTTCATGCTTGAGCAAACAGGTTTTTGCATGCTGCATCTGTGGTGTAGACCCTGCAGCCCTTTTCAGTAAAATAGATTAATATTACATGGTTCATAGCTTACTTCTGATTTCTTGTATTGTTGAGCTGATTTTTTTTAAATCTGTGAGGTAATAACTTGTGATTAACCTTCTGTTTCAACCTTCCCTGTTTTCATAATCTGATGAATTCTTAGCAAATCTAGTTGTTTGTGTAGGTTATGAAAATGAAGTTTCCAGAACACCAGGGTTTATTAAAACATAATATTATCCTTGGGGACAGTTAGTGATTGAACATTATTAATAACTGTCATTTAGGTTGCTTTTACTTGTTATTGAAATTCATTGTTTCTTTGAATAAAATTTGCATATATGTAGAACAGTAATACAGATACTAGAGAAAAACTCAGTGATTCTTCATTTCATGGTCAATTAAAGAATAAACTATCATATTGTTAATGGATGCATTTTGATGTATTTGTTTTAAATTTCAGGCAAAATCAATCTTCTTAAGTTTTAGGTTAACCTTTTATCATAGATGTGTTGTTAACTGTAATTTTGTTTTAACATTCCTTCTCACTCTAGGAAACAGTACAATTCAAATTAAATTAAATAAACAAACTATTGTAATCTATATAAACATTTTTTAGAATAAAAGTGATCTATTGACCAAAAACAAATACTAAACAGTATTTTGACCCAGCAGCTTTTACACGGACATTATTCTGTTATAAAACTATTTTGCATTATATGATAACATCTAATTTTTGGTCTGGTATTTTTTACATTTTCTGTATAGGTTTCAAATCTTTTTATGTTGATATGGTTCTTGGGTAATTAACAAAAACTAAGAATATCTAAAATAAAAACCTGTATTGAATGCATAAAGTATGGTTGATTGTGTCTATAGGCAGCAAGCTAGATTCTCTGTTTAATTTTAATGTTTTATAATGAATTTAAACTGCTCAGCTTCTGCTTCTGTTTCTTCAGAGATGGAAACAAAAATTAGACTTTTACTTATGATTTACTAATAGCTTGTAAAATTAAGCATTTTGCTTTTCTTATAGTTATAAGTCTTCAAATTGACATGTGATTATTAGTTTGGGGATTATAGTAGTGTATGCACAATTACATTTACTTGTAATGAAATTGAGAGCATAGTTTTAATGCAGAACAATTTATGAAACTAATAATTTTCTCTTTCTTCAAACCAGTTACACTGCAAAAAAAAAAAAGACAATATGTTCAATACATTTAATAGTATATAGTTCTTGTTTTATAAAGTAGCATAGCACAGTCACCATGACCAGCAGCTTTTGATTGCCTTGTCCTTGTTGATTCATTAAAACTGCAATATCACATTTGTGAAAATGAAATCTGGAATTTAATTACCGGTATGTGCATGTGAATATATACTTATTTGTATAAGATATTTGACTGCTCAGCTTCAATTGGATAGTATAATCAGTCTTTGGTTCTGCTATTCTTAGGAAGGGAGAAGATTTTCTCTGATCACTTTTTCCATACCTTATGTAACTATCTACACTTCCATAATGTTCCCACTTGTTTTTTCCTTTTTTCATAGAATGCTTTAACGCCCTGATAGTTTCAGTTGTTAGTTTTTGCATCTTTTTTATATCTAATATAGTTTTTTTGGAATTACACTACCAATAGCAAGTGGTTATATGATGACACATGATAACATTTGCATAATAACATTATATTAGCTAATGGGTTCTGTAATATCAAAATGTTCTCCCCAACTGTTACATTGTTTCTGTGAGTTATTTACTGCAGTTCTAAAATGTTTTTCTAAGTCAGTTTCTACTAGCTCCTGAAATGTCAGATTTTTTAAAATCTCGTGTGTAGCATTTACCTTTGCATATTGAGAGTTGCTTAGTTATTTTAACATCCCTTCATCCCTGTGTAGAACTTTTAGCAATTTCTTTTGGCTTTACCACTATAAAGAAGAATGGATGATGTAGGTGTTTTGTTCTCTGTCAGTCCTTTGAGATAGGTCAGGTAAAGAAACAGATACTGGTTGTATTCCAGGAATACTTCTTTATTGTATTATTGTAGAGAATATTAACAGAATCTTAAAAGCTTCTCCAAACCATTAACTGTTCTCTTTTAAAGACAGTAAGGTCAAGCAAGACAAGGCTGTTCTGAGCCCTTTTCTTATACTTTCTATTTTCCCAATGCTGAGCAATCATTTCATTTCAAGGCCAGAACTAATTTCCTCTACTTAAGGGGTGAGCAACATAGTTGCCTGCCACTAAAAATTGACCAGCCTAAGGTCTCAAAAATATTCATTCATCCCATGAGAGATGGCATTCACCACCTCCTTGGCTAGTCATTTTGACAAGGGCTTTACCAGTTCCCCTCTGTCCTTGATGATAGGGAAAGCAAGCTTTGAAGTGTACAAGGAGGAGCAAATGGTGGCAGCATTGCCTCTGGTCCCTACATTGAAGAAGGTTGTCAATTCCTGCTTTATATGCTCTGAATGGGATTTTAATGTTATGTTGCAAGACGTTTATTTTGTTGTGGGAACAGAGACATGTGTATACTTCAGTTGCATTTGCTTGCAAAGGATTAAAGTTGGGGAAGGAAAGTATAAAGTAATTGCAATAGAAGAGAATATATGTGGCTCATGGTTGAAATATAAAGTACCATAATTGAGTTGTATTTCTATAATGAGTATGATTGCCTAAAATGATCACCATGGTATTACCCAGTTTGTACACTAATCGGGAATCAGATAACAAGGAGAAGTAGGCTTGGGAGTTGAAAATATATAGATGGAAGCTCTAGGTGATATCCCCTGATGAATTAATGTAGATATTAAGTAGCATAGAAACATAATAAATTCCTTGGGGATGTCATAGAACAATGGCCAAGGTCTTGAACACAATATGGGAACTCTCATAAGGATTAAAACTATTGTAAAACTAAAGATCAGTTGTGTCAGGCAATTGAGGAGAATACCATAGTTCAGTGATGGCGAACCTTTTAGGAACCGAGTGCCCAAACTGCAACCCAAAACCCTTTATTTATCACAAAGTGACAACATGGCAATTTAACCTGAATAATGAGGTTTTGTGAGGAATTTCAATCACTCTTTCACAACCTGACTTCTCCCTGGTGGCACTGGATTTCTTTAACAGCACAACTCAAGAATGATGGGAGTGTAGTGCAGAAGCCTCCGGAGGGCCATCACATCCTTATTCCTTCTTTCCTTCCTTCTTTTTCCTTCTTTCCTTCTTCCTCCCTCCCTCCCTCTCTCCTCTGATTTCACCTTCCTTCCTTTAATCCTGTATATTATGGTTCGTTATTGTTAGAATTTATTAAAGAATGCTGTGAAGCTTAGAAGCTCTCAGCAAAAATAACAGCAGCTGTTTTTTGTGGCTGAAGCTATCCCGGGCTATTATTTACACACACACACACACACACACACACACACACACACACACACCTACCTATTTTTATTCCATTTTCCCTGGGAAAGGAATAGCACCTTTTCCCCATCCCCGTCTTTACTAAACCCTAACCCCCCCTTGCAGCTTTTAGCTACTATTGTCCCATCTTGCTTCCCCCTCCCCTTAAAACGAGGCTAGGGAAGAAAACCAGGAGAGGGGAATCTAAGGGGGAGGGAAGAAGAGACTCAGGTAGATCCCTCTCTGAATAGCATCCAACCCAGATTTCAACTGATTTCCTCTCCAATCCTCCGATGAACAGACCCCACCGCCCTTTTTGGACTCTGGACCACTGCCCTATGAATTTTTATTGGGTCTTCCTCCCACCGCACACCAAAAGGAAAG